AGTTCTGTTATTGTGGTTTGTCCTTTTTAACGTTGCTGGTACTGTATTGTGTAGTTCTGTTATTGTGGTTTGTCCTTTTTAACGTTGCTGGTACTGTATTGTGTAGTTCTGTTATTGTGGTTTGTCCTTTTTAACGTTGCTGGTACTGTATTGTGTAGTTCTGTTATTGTGGTTTGTCCTTTTTAACGTTGCTTGTACTGTATTGTGTAGTTCTGTTATAGTGGTTTGTCCTTCATGAAATATGTAGCTCTCTGTCCTGTTTAACGTTGCTTGTACTGTATTGTGTAGTTCTGTTATTGTGGTTTGTCCTTTTTAACGTTGCTGGTACTGTATTGTGTAGTTCTGTTCTTGTGGTTTGTCCTTCATGAAATATGTAGTTTTCTGTCCTGTTTAACGTTGCTTGTATTGTATTGTGTAGTTTTGTTATAGTGGTTTGTCCTTTCTATCCAATTACGTTTCTTCTGGATTTAAACATCTGTCAAAAGTTATTAGATTTCAACCTAATTATAGAATAATTCTTTGATAATAATATAGTACACATCAATTCAATAGTGAAAATACAAATACATACCCTCAAGACCAGCATCCAACCTCCACCTAAAATGTCCATGTTGCAGTATACACGTTGTTCCTTTCCGCCTACCTCGAGAGTATACCATCCTGAAAAAAGCCGATGTCTATCCTTACCAGCACGATAAAGGTAGCTGCTGCACGAGAAGAAGGTTCCTAAAAAAATTAAAATAACACACTACAAGCTAGAGAAGTGTAACTAGACGTGATTTTATTTACTGATTTTAATAATTTTATCTAAAAATATCTAGAAAAAATTGCCCTTCAAAAGTACTCTTCAAATTAAAGCACGACTGATCAAATACTGTTGCAAGAAGAAAACTATACACAAACTATTTGAATCAAAGCGCTATTTGTCAAGTACTGTTATTTTCACTGCATACTTTGAAGATTTTTGCATATTCCACAGAATACATAAAATACGAGAATTTAAGTGGTTTATGCGCTAATCTAGTGAAGAGAGAGAAAACTATTTGATGAAAACACTTGTTACAATGTAACCCGGTGGACTTAATTACCAAATTGAAATTAAAAATAATTTTTCTTAAGGTTATAAATTTTTAAATAAACGATATTTTTCTCAATCGCTAACACACCAGCCAAGTAGTCATAGGTGCAACAACAACAAGCAAGGCTAAATAACAGGATAGCTTCTTATGAGTCCTGCTAGAGGTTTATCAAACAAAAGGTTTGTACGTTACCTTGCGAGTACGAGCGGTTAATAAACGTATCTTTGTTCAATCGAACATAAATATACGTGTTTCAATCGCTAACACACCAGCCACGTAATCATAGGTGCAACAACACTAAACAAGGCCAAATAACGGGATAACTTATTATGAGTTCTGCTAGAGGTTTATCAAACAAAAGGTTTGTACGTTACCTTGGGAGAACTTATGGTTAATAAACGTATATTTGTTCAATCGAACATAAATATATGTGTTTCAATCGCTAACACACCAGCCACGTAATCATAGGTGCAACAACACTAAACAAGGCTAAATAACAGGATAACTTATTATGAGTTCTGCTAGAGGTTTATCAAACAAAAGGTTTGTACGTTACCTTGGGAGAACTTATGGTTAATAAACGTATCTTTGTTCAATCGAACATAAATATACGTGTCATCAAGTTTGATAAGAAATTTAAACAATATATTATTTACTACTTGTCATCAATTAAACCTAAAACAAAGGCTAATGAACATAAGGATAAAGCTTACTTTACAATTCCAATTATTAACAGAAGAAGTATAGAACTTTTAAATTAGAACCTATAGTCAGAGGCATTTCTTAATTTATCTATCTAGGCTCCAACATCGATGAGGAAGGATACTGCAAAGTTGAAGTAAGGAAATAGGTAAAAGCTGGATGGAATAAATGGAGGAAAGTCTCAGGAGTGATTCTGGACAAGAAAATACCACTAAAGCTTAAAAGCAAAATTTACAAAACAGTAGTTTGGTCGGTTCTGCTTTATAAAGCAAAAAATTGGGCTATAGGGAGAAATAAGGATAGTATTTTTGATAACACCGAGATAAGAATGTTAAGATGGGTGCTGAGAGAAAGAATAATGAATGATGACATTAGGAGTCTGTAAAATCACAAATGAAGCAAGATTGAGATGGTTTGGACATATGGCAAGAAGTGAAGAAAGGTGTACAGTGAAAAAAGCATTGGAAATGTCAGTGGAATGGCAAAGAAGTAGAAGAAGACAAAGGATATGGTGAAGAGACGTGGTGGACAGGGATATGAGGGAGGTCGGCGTAACTAGAAATGGTGCACAGAATCGTAATCTATGGAGAAGAAAGACCCGAGCGGCTGACCACATACCAAAATGTGATTAAGAATTCAGAGACACCTTTATAAAACATTTATTACCTAACACTTGCACAATTAAGTACAAACTATTATATATTCCTGGTACCAACTATTAGATCTCCCCCTATATCAACTATTAGATATTATCGCTATTGGCAGCGGCATCATAAATTACCAAACTGTTACATAACATAACTAATGATGAGTTAAACACCATTATATCCTGTAAATACTAAGTTTAATTCATTCCATCACACTTATTCTTCCGTCGACCACGTGCTCACCTTGGTATGGTAACATTTACAACAATAACGAATAAAGGTTCAAAGTTCTATGAATGTCCAAAAATTAGTTGATACCTCAACAACGAGGTCATTAGATCATCGGTCAGTAAAGTTTTACATAAATGGAATAATAAAAAAAGGAATTTAAAAGTGATCCTAATTAGAATCTGGGTAGATAAAATTGGAAACATAACCAATAAACGCACAAAATAACCACTGACAACAACGGACATGTTGTGGGTAAAAAGAGGAGTTATAAGTCATTTATATTGTTTAAATAATAGACAAGTCATTATTCCCGCCGATAAAGCAACTAAAAACTTTGTTTTCATTTGTAAAACGTTCTATGTTATAATTATGTTTAACTTGTATTCATTAAAACCTTCGGATAAAGAGTGTTGAAAAGCTGATATGGAAAGTGTCATAAATAAACATATTATAATTTTATCATAGAGTACATTCGGATAAATCAAACAAATTATTTTCAATTCCCAAATTACATAAAATAAAATACAAATACAGGTTTACTGCCGGCGCTAAAAATGCTACAGCTAAATATTTGTTAATTATGGCAGGTAATGGTGTTTACTATGCCTAAAGAAATATTATTAACAAAAAGAGAACTGGTATCAATACTTGTATAATAATCGGTAATTCTACTGAATGTAGACAAAGTCTGCAGACTTATAACGTTAAAAATCGTGTTTTGATACCCGTAGTGGGTACAACGCAGATAGCTTAACATCAAACTAACAAAACAAACACATTGACTGTTAACAGAAAATTAAAGGCTTTTAAAAGCTGTAACGGTAGAAACGTTTGGTTTCAGTAATGCCCTCTAACTGATGAAATTAGTTTTTCATCAATAATTTTAAAATAGTTTAATAATTCGGGTAAATTACTACTTTGCTTCGACAAACAGAGAACTTTTTATGACAATATCACTCATAGAAAATACCAGTTTCATATTAAATGTATTCTTGCAGATCATGTGTTTTTTTACTCGATAACACAATTGCGCACTATTTGGCCAATATGTTTTCCAGTAGGTACTGGAAATTTTAACAGGAGGTAACTTTAGCCCATAAGCTGCAGATTGGATGAGAATTTTCATGAATGACAAACCCTACTAAAAAAGTCATCAGTCACGATTATAGATATATAGATGATATTCTTATACATAATTCCAATGTCTTCTAGACAGAGCCGAATAGATTTATCCACGCTCTGGAAAATCAGTATGTGGATTTAGTCTTAAATTGCAAAAATCGAACATTCAAGTTTAAAGTTTTTGATAAAATGGATTCTTTCAACTTTGAAGTCATAAACTTTCCATTTCCAAATATTCCAAACAAGTTATATTACTAATCTCAGGTTCTTAGATATAAAATAATTTGTTCATCATTACAAAGCTTTGTGGATGGAACTCGTAAACTGACTCGCATTTTTCATAATTTCTCATTGCAAAAATTAAACACAAAATTCATTCAATTCTGTGGGATATTCTACAGTATTCTTGCTAAAGATTATGTCTTACAAATTTTCTCGTCTACACTTTAACCCAATTTCTACGAGTCATCCTATGGTCACGGGTCAAAGGCCATGTCATCGCATTTGTTTACTCACATTCAAAAGTTTATTGAAATACTATTTTATGAATGTATGTGAATAAGTTTGGTATCAAATTGTATATTATTATTCAAATTTTAGTATTATACATTAGTTAATTTCTTAAGTAAATATTAAAAACAAATTCCTAAATATCGATTTTTGTGTGTCACAGTGGATATGTTGAATGCAGCATTGGTTCAAATTTGATGTTTGTGATAACCAAATACAAAGTCTATAGTTTCTTACGAATTATGAACTCGATTACCGATATTGACAAGCTAGAATATGCAATAAGAACCTCCTATCTTTTCTATTTGCTGAGATATCGTTACATTTACAGAATCAAACACAGCGGCCACGTCCACCTCTGTCCATATTTGGAAAGATTTGCTTACGTATGCGTACTATCTATGATGTGTGAATAACGAATCGAATGCTCAGAATGTTCCCCTAGTGGCTTTTTCAGCGTCATTGAAATATTTGGGTGGAAAACTAATTATTTTCATGCTATATTTCAATCAGTAAGATAAGACTTTAGTGAGCTCGAAATTTCTTATTTTTTAAACCCAAGTACAGCTTAGTTACTAAGCTTGATAAATTATAGTGGAACTCTGTGGTATTAATATAGTAATTTATTATATTTGGTTATTTTAATATATATATATATAACCTTCAAAAAATATTTTGTTTTACATCCTCCAATTGCGAAATTTGATAAGGCATAGCAACCTACGGTAAACAGCAAACGAGTGCAAAGTTCGTAACTAGTAATAGATAATTGTTTTCTATAATTCTTCATATACTGTTCTATATTTTTTTTTAATTCGAAATTTAATAACTTATTTGTAAATAGTTATAATGTACATACATATATAATGTATTATAACTGAAATGTGACAGTATTTTACAATATACTAGTCCACCAAAACACAGCCAAGATAGGTCACTTTGTAAAGGCCAGTTTTATACTCTTGGATACAGTAACACCAATGCACGTGCGCCGCGTCATTGCAACTTCTATAATGTTAGCCAGGTACAGCTGAAAGATCAATATAATAAAAATATTAAATGTACAATGTTATGAAATTTAAGCTAATTAAACTAAACATTTGTGTTTTCATTTTATAATTTGTAGTTATTATAGAACGAAAAAAGCATAATTTATATATATTTCCTCTTTTTATGGCGGTTACGAGGTCGGTCAAATCGACCCTACCTGTACACAGATACAGTAGTGAAAATAACAGATAAATATAAAGTTTCTTCTAAAAAGACATTTGATAATTATCTGGAGATTATAAAAATTTCGCATGTGAAATTTGAAAATGTTCTGATGCATAAAAGTATATTTAATCGTAAAATCAAAATCACTTTGCATGTTAGATAGTCAACATTGTAAAAGAAAACATTTCACGAGAAATTCTTTAATTAAAAAATCTTAATACTTAATCTAAAGCCTGATATTTTGTGTATGCAAGCCTTGTAATATTTACCAACAACCTGCAAAACTTTGTAAAGATACGCGTACATTATCAAAAATCATAGCATAATTACTCTCATGGTTATGAGCTGTGTAGATCCCACCCAGCCCATAATGGTAGGGAGGATAATCTAAACGGTAACAGAAACAGCTTTAGCGTATTGACTACCATTGGTTTTACCTACCTTTAAGCTATTATCTATAATAGTTCTGTTTATAGTTTGGTATTACATCATTAGCTTACCGTGTTTCCTTTTCGGCTTTTACAGAAGACTGACAGTTATTCATTACTTCCTGTAGCCAACTCTAAGTCTAAGCTTTGTTACAGATGGTAGTTAAATAAGACCGATGATAAAAATTTTTAGACACACTACATATCAAGTTTAGTTAGTTGTTTTCTTCTTGATACATTTAACATTTTTATATCCTAATACTATGTCAGGTATTGTTTTTAAAACTTCATAAATATTTGTTTTTACTTGGGAAAGCTGATGCAGCTGACTTAACACAGTTTAAACAAAACATACGGCTTGAATTGTCACAGAAATTAGAATATCCCCTGACGTAATATAGTAGGGGTGGCTTGATTGGATTTATTTGGTTGAGAGAGAAAGATTCCATGTTGAAAAAACAAATTACTTCTAGTACGTCACATTCACCTTGGGCATGTTTAAGTGCACTCGACTTAGTAGGGTACATAAAATTTGCATGCATTTTCACCGGGTTAAAAATTTTATTTTAGTGGATCCAACATAGCCTTGCTGACAGTAGGGTCAAGTAAATTTATAAACTACATTTGATATTTCTAATGCAGAAAGAACTTGAAGATCCATTTTATAATACATCACACTTGTATTTGAGGATATACCCTTCAAAGTACATTTTTTAACTTACTGTTAATAATCAAAGTATCAACTATGAGACGGGAAACCTCATGTAAGTGTAAATTATAAGACAGGAAACCTTAGGTAATTGTCAATTACGAAATGTTAAACCTCGTGTAATTGTCAGTTATAAGACGGTAAACCTTATGTGTCAGTTATAAGACGGTAAACCTCATGTGTCAATTATGAGCTGGGAACCTCGTATAATTGTCAGTTATAAGACGGTAAACATTGTATGTCAATTATAAGACGGTAAACATTGTGTGTCAATTATGAGCTGGGAACCTCGTGTAATTGTCAAGTATAAGACGGTAAACCTCATGTGTCAGTTATAAGACGGTAAACATTGTGTGTCAATTATAAGACGGTAAACCTCATGTGTCAATTATGAGCTGGGAACCTCGTATAATTGTCAGTTATAAGACGGTAAACATTGTATGTCAATTATAAGACGGTAAACATTGTGTGTCAATTATGAGCTGGGAACCTCGTATAATTGTCAGTTATAAGACGGTAAACCTTATGTGTCAATTATGAGCTGGGAAACCTCGTGTAATTGTCAGTTATAACACGGTAAACCTTATGTGTCAATTATGAGCTGGGAAACCTCGTGTAATTGTCAGTTATAAGACGGTAAACATTGTGTGTCAATTATGAGCTGGGAACCTCGTGTAATTGTCAGTTATAAGACGGTAAACATTGTGTGTCAATTATGAGCTGGGAACCTCGTATAATTGTCAGTTATAAAACGGTAAACATTGTGTGTCAGTTATAAGACGGTAAACATTGTGTGTCAATTATGAGCTGGGAACCTCGTATAATTGTCAGTTATAAGACGGTAAACCTTATGTGTCAATTATGAGCTGGGAACCTCGTGTAATTGTCAGTTATAAAACGGTAAACATTGTGTGTCAGTTATAACACGGTAAACATTGTGTGTCAATTATGAGCTGGGAACCTCGTATAATTGTCAGTTATAATACGGTAAACCTTATATGTCAGTTATAAGACGGTAAACATTGTATGTCAATTATAAGACGGTAAACATTGTGTGTCAGTTATAACACGGTAAACATTGTGTGTCAGTTATAACACGGTAAACATTGTGTGTCAGTTATAAGACGGTAAACCTCATGAAGTGTTTTGCATCTTCAGCATTCTCCGATGCCCCCCCCCCCATCAATTGGCGTTTTCATAACGTCTTGTTATTCATATTTTGTACTGGAGTCAAACAATTATATACAGTAATATTATAACTTTACAATGTATCAAAGATATTACTGCTTTCCAAACTAAACAAACTTCTTCAAGTAGTTTAAACTGTTTAATGATTGTGAAAATACATGTTAAAGATTTTTCTTTTTCACCAGAGGTGAAAATGAAAATAAATCTTTAACATATGCATACAATCATTAAACAGTTGGTCCGCTATATAATATTGAATAATTTATTCGACGAAATGTCAAACATTATTCACATACCTAAATCAAACCCCTATACTATTATTTCAAAACACTTCGAATTATTTATCAATGGCCGTCTCTTTGTAAACATATACAAACGATTTTTATGTAAATAGAAATATTTGACTCTATTTCACATCGCGTATTCCGTAAATAATGGAATATGAAAGCCACATCAGTTGAAGAACGTTGTTAATGATTTTGGAAATCTATCTTAAACCTGTTTACTCCGAGTTTATTCTCAGAAATATGCATAAAACTTAAATTAGCTGCTGACAATGTCAACGAAGCTTGCTTTTCATTATCCAAAACTCTTCAGTCTTTACTATAAAAGTATTAAAATATGGCTTAGATTGTTGTCTTTTTCGATCTTTTAATAACTAGTATGTATTTGTTTCAAAATTCAACTATCACAAGAGAATAAAAACAAGTAGTATTACTCTATTATTTTTACATTTAACACGACTGTTTGCCAACGAACGCCATATCAATACATCTCCGTGTCTATAGCCAATGATTGTTTTAACATGTTCTCTCTTTTCAGGCTCAACAACTAAAGCTAAGTGTAGAGTTCAGGACAAATTATTTCATATAAACTACTTGTTGCTTTTATAGAACATTAATACTGAAACGCTAGTTAACGTAACAACACTAACATGAAATCAGAAACATAAGCCATGGTTATACGTAATACCTTTTACAATCCGGTAAAGAATGGTTACAGTTATATATGGTTTATAATAAAGTATAATCAGAAACAAAGTAAAAAAGTATTATATATAAATATATTTTTCTTAATGTTTGATAGAAGATGAGTGTGCAGTAAATACTTTTCTTTGTTTTCTGTTAATCGTTTTTCAGCTATTTTTAAATACTACAAATAAAACTAATGAAAATATAATTTACCTGAAGGAGGAATATTAAGCAATAACGTCAATACGACCATGTTGAAAACAAAACATACTCGCCAGTTCTGAATGACTACCATAATTTTCTCACTTAATAAACAATGTATATATTTTAGTTATATTAATTTTTTGTACATTTCAATACATATGAACACACTTGATTGGCCTCAATAATAAACAGAATCGACGTCCAGTCTCTTCCTTTTGTAATAATATATCGTCAATGTAACAGTTATTCTTCAGTTATGGTAATAAGCACGTACTTTTTTCATTAGAAGAATCTTTTCAAGACTTAATAACTTGTTTTCTTCACAATCAGATATTTGAATCGCGCAGAGTACATGAAGTTCCAGAATTCACACCAGATCTAAATAGTTTAGGTGACAGAAACTTTCTGGATCACAGAATATTTAGATATTTTAAATGCAATAAGCAATGAAGAAATTTGTTTTCAGTTTCTTACATTATATATTCTTGGGGTACGTAGTAACTCAAAAATCGTACTACACGTATGATCCAGTTTTGATAACAGTTACTCGGATTCAAAATGATTACTAAAGTCGACCTGCAACTAGTATGCATTTTTACCATTATTCACGGTGATCACAGAATAATTCAAAGACCGGAATGACAGAAGACTTCAGAGACCATACTCTATTCAAAGATCAACTGATCCACGTAGTGAAAAATAATTTAATGATTTTCCTGTAAAATGTACCTAGTTTTAGTAAATCACGATCTAGAATATCATACTTTCAAAACTCGCGTCGGGTTTCATCAAAACGAACCATACATTGTTTGATCACAACCAAATATTATCTTATTTCGATAAACACGTTAAGTAAAAGCACTGTAAACGCCATAGGAAATAAGTAAAGAAACGTTTGGACAAATATTCAGGGCTTACTGTGTACGAAGTGTGGTTCCCGCTCGGAAAATTTATGTTATTTTAGGCACAACACGTACATCTAGATAGATGTATAAACAGGTGTCTCAGAGTTTCGTTTCTATGGTTAGCACAGAACATATGTGTGCACAGTGTTAATACAGAAAGTTCTTTTCAACAGGTGGTAAGGTGGAGCCTTTCCGCTGGCTGTTTTGTGTGTGAGGGTGGATGTTTCACGTTTACAAATAATTTTTAAATGTAAAAAATGTAATAATAATATTGGAAAATTTTCAGCCTAGTGAAGTTAGTAAGATAACCCAGTTTGTTTAGCTGTGTAAAAAACAATTCACACAAACATGAAGCTGTCGGGTATTGTAACACAAAAAATGCAGATAGTGCATCACGATTTAAAATACAGTCGAAATCACGGTCTGAGAAATAACTGTTTGTTCATGTTTGGCCCAACCCTGATCTTCATCCTGACAGTAAAAAATAAATCTTGTCTGAGACGATGACCACATACTATTTTTTTATCATATAACTGTTATTATATCAAGCAGAACAGAAAATAAATACCTCCATGTTTTCACGTTTCTGAAGAAACTGTAGCACAGAAAGTAGGCTTGTCTCAGGAATTTGTACGTCATAATTCACATTACGTTTAAGAACGTACTATTAATGAAAAACCTGTAAACAAATTTTAGAGTTCAAATCTTATATTACATTCATCTATCTATATATATAAAGCACAAAAAATCTGTGTGTCTGTCTATTATCTAACTACTCCTAAGTCGCTGGGTCAATCTCAACCAAACGTTGTGGGATGATAGTTTGAAACAAGGGGCATGTTAATGGGGGATTCATAGCCCCTCTATCTCACTCATTCCCTCATTATTGCTGTTGTTGAACATTTATTATCTTTGATGTAAGTTAACTACATTCCCAGATGGCGCCACGTCCTTACATGAAAAAATAACTATCAAAATTTCTAGAACACAATATATACACAGTGTGGGGGGAGAACACACAAACGTTTTGTATATTCGGAGAGTACGCTAGCACTCTCTACGAAGAAATGCAATGAAACTGGTCGTCACTGTTGCAATAATACATAACCTCAGCTGAAGTGTCTACTCCAACAACCAGCTGAAGGTTGATATGACGAGCCGTTTTTTGAGTTATAGCCCTCTTTGACCCGTGACCTTTCAACTTCGGCTCATAAGATACTTTTGCGGCCAATGACCGTCAATTAATTAATCACATGAAACAGGAAAGACATTAAAAGCGGATAACAGAACGCACCCCTACGACCACTTCTTTTTCCGCTACCTCTTTCTACAAAGTCACCCTGACCATCACAAAGTGTATACCATGTTTTAAGTACATACATAGAGTTATTAAAATTTATAAAAAACTTTTAGTGAGGTACTAATGAATACTGTTAGTACTGTTATTTATCATAGCATCCACCACACCTCAGCTTATATTACATAAACCACACGAATTCACAAGCTAGAATGACGTATGTTTTCACGCTAAGCATTTCATTTTATCTGCTAATCTACATGTGTAAATAAATTTTCATACAACTTTATAGTTACTGCAACTACAAAAGTCTTTGTTTCTGTACTTTCGTTGACTCGAAACAAGTTCTTAAAATACTAATAGTTCGGCAGAATTTATTGTATTTTATATGTTTCAATAAGTGTTGATTATAAAGGTGACTGACTATAAGGGACAAAGAATAGTGTTTCATGGCAAATCTTCGTTATTATAATTATAATTTTATCTCCAGTTTAGTTTTGTATTTCTAACGCTGTCAACATACAAGATTGTCTCTGTGATCATGTCCTATCCTCATATGATTATATCCAAAGAATATTTACTTTGTCAGAAAGCACATGGTCCCAAAGTAGAAGTAGGCTTTGTTTGATAATAGGCTCAGTAATTACGTCACGTTATACATTTATATCAACAAGTAAATATAAAGTTCTTGTCAAAGGTGATTTCTCTCTGTCATTTGACTTCTTAACGTAACCATGTCACTGTTACATGACTTAATCAACACGTAAATATAATATTTTTCTCTCAATTTTTCGAAGCTCCTTTGTCTCTGTCTGTTTGCTTGTTATTGTAACTATGTCTCTGTCAGTTTCCCTTGTTACATGTCTACATTATTATGTGAATATAATGTTATTAACACTTAACACTATGTATATAATGTCTTCATTACTAGTGTTATTACAAAACTCTACTGAACACTCAGTACAAATGCTATCAATACTGTTGTTACTCTAAACTCTACTTAACATTCAGTACAAGTGCTATCAGTAATGTCATTACTGTAAACTCTACTGAACACTCAGTACAAATACAATCAGTACTGTTGTTACTATAAACTACTTAACACTCAGTACAAGTGCTATCAGTACTGTTGTTACTATATATTCTACTTAACACTCAGTACAAGTGCTATCAGTACTGTTGTTACTATATATTCTACTTAACATTCAGTACAAGTGCTATCAGTACTGTCATTACTGTAAACTCTACTGAACACTCAGTACAAATACAATCAGTACAGTTGTTACTATATATTCTACTTAACATTCAGTACAAGTTCTATCAGTACTGTTGTTACTATAAACTCTACTTAACACTCAGTACAAATGCAATTAGTACTGTTGTTACTATAAACTCTACTTAACACTCAGTACAAGTGCTATCAGTACTGATGTTACTATAAACTCTATTTAACACTCAGTCATGTGCTGGCAGTATTGTTGTTACTATAAACTCTACTTAACACTCATTACAAGTGTTATTAGTACTAGTGTTACTATAAACTCTACTTAACACTCAGTACAAGTGTTATTAGTACTAGTGTTACTATATACTCTACTTAACAATCAATACAAATGCAATCAGTACTGTTGTTACTATAAACTCTACTTAATAATCAATACAAATGCAATCAGTACTCTTGTTACAATATTTTCTACTTAAGACTCAGTATAAGTGCTACTAGTACTGTTGTTACTATATATTCTACTTCAGGGACTGATTGACTATCAAATGGCTACTACTTCACCCACTGAGATACCAACCTAACATTCTTATAAATGTTAATATAAACATTGTCAGCTGTGGCTACTTAGCCAGCAGTAGGTTAGTAGATCGTACCACTAGTTAGTAGATTGTATCACTGGTTAGTAGATCGTACCACTGGTTAGTAGATTGTACCACTGGTTAGTAGATCGTACCACTGGTTAGTAGATCGTACCACTGGTTAGTAGATTGTACCACTGGTTAGTAGATCGTACCATTGGTTAGTAGATCGTACCACTGGTTAGTATACTGTACCACTGGTTAGTAGATTGTACCACTGGTTAGTAGATTGTACCACTGATTAGTAGATTGTATCACTGGTTAGTAGATTGCATCATGGATTATTATATCACTGGTTAGTAGATCGTATCACTGGTTAGTATACTGTATCACTGATTAGTAGATTGTACTACTGGTTAGTAGATTGTATCATGGATTATTATATCACTGGTTAGTAGATCGTATCACTGGTTAGTAGATCGTATCTAACTACTGGTATCTGTTATAAAGGAAGGGTTCAAGGAAATGGACACAACTACTGGTATCTGTTATAAAGGAAGGGTTCAAGGAAATGGACATAACTACTGGTATCTGTTATAAGAGAAGGGTTCAAGGAAATGGACACAAGTATTGATATCCGTTATAAGGGAAGAGTTCAAAGGAATGGACCCAGGTACTGGTATCTGTCGTAAGGGAAGAGTTCAAGAGAATGGACACGGGTATTGGTATCTCTTATAAGGGAAGAGTTCAAGGGAATGGACACAACTACTGGTATCTCTTATAAGGTAAGAGTTCAAGAGAATGGACACAGGTACTGGTATCTCTTATAAGGGAAGAGTTCAAGGGAATGGACACAACTACTGGTATCTCTTATAAGGGAAGAGTTCAAGGGAATGGATACAACTACTGGTATATCTTATAAGGGAAGAGTTCAAGGAAATGAACACAACTACTGGTATCTGTTATAAGAGAAGGGTTCAAGGAAATGGACACAAGTATTGATATCTGTCGTAAGGGAAGAGTTCAAGAGAATGGACACGGGTATTGGTATCCATCATAAGGGAAGAGTTCAAGGAAATAGACAC